CATAATTTAAAATTATGAAAGATGCTAATATTGACTAAAACTTTTTTCAAAACAAATTATAGTTTTTCGAAATCATTTAAATGAAATATTATACTCCCTCCGTCCCTCATAGATCTTCCCAATAGCCCTTTTTCTTTGTCCACAATAGATCTTCTCATTTCATTTTTTAACAATTAAAATACCACAACTACCCCCACTTACTTTATTTATTACACCTCACCCACCTCATTTAATACACTCCATCTATTTTTCATTAAGGGTATTATGGTAAACTTTCACCTTTTTTCAACTCTCCTTAAAAACCACCAAAAATCAAAATAAGAACATCTTAGGAGTAGGAGGACGGAGAGAGTAATTATTATGAACATAAAATAGACATATATTCTCAATAGTCATAAATCAAGACATGTGTCCGTCAATTTATGACTGTCCGCTTTTGCCTTTGGTCCAAAATTCCAAATCATCTTTGGACTTTTGCCCCTTCTTTGATCATGTTTTTTGATGGACTTTGTTATTTGTCAATATAGACGCACTTTTAGGTAAAAATATTTGTTCCATCCCAAATTAATAATTTTTGTTTGACTTGATACCAATTTATAAAAGTTGAAATTATACTCCCTTCGTCCCTAAATATTTGTCACACTTGTATTTCCGAGATAAATATCAAGTTTTTTCAATTCATTTTATTTACATATTGGTATAGAAATAAAAAATAAAATTTACATATAAAAAAACTACATGAAAAGTTCTTCGAAATAAGAGGTGTCAAAAATATTTTATTTTATCAAATAACCAATGAAAACGTAGAAATAAACAAAAGTTCTTGCGACTGCTGAAAAAGCAAATATTGTAAGTAGTTTGGGACAGAGAGAGTATGAATAAAATGATGCAGATGAAATATATATGGTATAGCTAGATTTACGATATTTTTCTTACATCAACGACGAATTTTGATTTTCGAGTAACTGAATATTCAATTTGTATATTTTTTTAGTTGTACATTCATGATTATTTTAATTGAAATGAACACTCTGCTACTCGCAAATGTACATTATGTGTAAACATCGTAAGTATTATGTAGTTTTTGAATGAAGGTACATATATGTATTTTGCCTAATTTGTAATGTACGGTAGTACTCCGTACATCTTTTAATATATACTAAAAGATATTAGATATACAAAATGAATATTCTGTTATCCGAAAATGAGTAATTACGCAAATGTACGAACGACATCGTACATCCACATGTATGATATAAAGAACTCATATTAAGAGGAGAAAAAATGTGAGTCACAAAATTTTTATATAAATAGAAAGCGTCAAGAAGCTAACTCAGCCACAAGTGCAAGCTTGTGGAGTTGTGGTTGTAGGCCCGCAAAATCTTTTATATTTTAACATGTTTCTCACATGCAGAAGTGACCGCTTGAGTCTTGTAGGCCCATGAATTTTTTATATTCTTACATACTTCCTCACATGTGTGGCCGTTTTGACCCTTGCACATGAAACTTTAAAATTTTTAAACTGGGTACAGTAAATTCCGAACTTGTGACTCTTGGTCAACAAATCTTTGATGTCATTACACGTAATAGAACCAATTCAACTACAAGCTTAAACTTGTGGTTGTAAGCCCAGAAAAAGTTTTTTGTTCTAACACATGTTATAAGTGGGTTTATTGCAGCTAGAAAGTATAGACAGAGTACATGGATATTGGTCCCTCCTCCTAGCAATCAGTATCCCATTAGTTGCAAGCGAGTCTATCACATGAAGCACAATTCAGATGGTTTAGTGTATCGTTATAAAGCTCGCACTATTACAAAAAGCTACGGTATGATTAAGAATACTGACTTGACTACCGAGAGACATTCATTTTGATTGGTTGCAAAGGAGCATACTATCCTTGTTGTATGACCTTTGACCACACATCATAATTGGTCTCTTCACCATCTAGATCTTTCTAATGCTTTTTTGCATGATGAGTTACAGGAAGATATTTACATGACGCAATTTTCTCAGTGATTATAAGATGCAATTACCCATTTTTAATATAATTTTATCAGAATGTAGTATTTGTAAATATATACTCTGCATTTTTAATCTATTAATGTTCTTGGAGTTACTGTCTACTTTAAATTTAGGGGACTCACAGTGATGACGAATTCTATTGTGGTTCTAAAGTCTACACCCACTTTATGGACCTTAGTATATACAAATTATAGATGGATTATGCGTTTGAAAAAAAATACTCCTTCCGTCCCACAAAATTTTTCTGATCTTGACTTTTGAAAGACTTAAAGAGAAAGTATTTTGGTGTTGACTTTTCAAAAATAGTCTTGGATGTGATGGGTAAAAGTAGACGTGATGAGTAATTAATAGTGAAAGAGTGTGATGGACATGTATCATTTTTCTAGAAGAGGTGCTACTAGACCACAAAATGTTTTGCAAATTTCATATTTGTCCCATCCATTTGACTTTTGAGGGCCTATGAAGCGCATGCATTTTTTTAATGGGTAAATACATGATGAGAGTATAAACCATAAAAGGATGGGAAAATTAAAAAAAAAAGGAAAAAGAAAAAGATGGAACACTGTTGAGATGGTTGAAAATTCAGTAATGACTGACGAAATGGGAAGCATTAATAAACGTCAACAACCCGCCCCACTTCTTCCTTTCTTCTTCCTTGTTCTCCCCCCTTTCCTATTTATCTTCTCACGCGTTTCTTTTCTTGATTTTACCAGTATCGATTCCGGTTCTTATGCGTGTACGTGTTCAATTCATGCCTTCAAAACCCTCGATTTGATTTTGCAAGGTCATCGCGATTACGACTTTCTGCTGATTTTTTGGGTTTTTTCCGTTGATCGGAATGGCGTCGGCGGCTATGTTCTCTTCCTTGAGGCGGCGGAGGTTGCCGTCTCTTGAGGCGTTCATAGCTCCCCTGGATCTGGCGGACTGGGCGTTGGTGGAGACGCTGGCGGCGGTTGCGAAGGAGCTGGTTGTTTCGTTTTCCGGCAAGCCGCCGGCTCACCAGCGGAAGAATTCCAAATTTCTCCTCCGGAAGATACAGGTTCTCTCTGTAGCCATGGAATGCCTAGTGGAAACCAGAGGTTCTTCCGGATTTCCTTCCGCTGCTTTTTTGTGCTTTAAAGAGTTGTACCTTCTGCTTTACCGCTCAAAAATCCTGCTTGATTATTGTGTCCATTCGAGTAGACTGTGGCTCTTGCTGCAGAACCACTCCATTTCTGGCCATTTTCATGATCTGAACCAGGAAATCTCGACGCTTTTGGATGTTTTGCCCATAAACTGTCTGAATTTATCTGATGATGTTCAAGAACAATTACTGTTGTTGCGAAAACAGTCCAAAAAATCTCAACTTTTCATCGATAAGCACGATGAGCTCTTGAGGTTGAAGCTGTACGCTTTCTTGAACGAGTTCGAGAACGGGAGAATCCCCAATTCTCGTGATTTGTACTTGTTCTTTGTGGAGAAAATGCACATTCGCGACGCAAGGAGTTGCAGGTTGGAAATTGAGTTCTTGGAGGAGCAGGTTATGAATCATGAAGGAGATAGTGATCCAACTGCCTCTGTACTTAATGGGTTTGTGGCAATTACCCGATACTCCCGGTTCTTGTTGTTTGGTTTCGACGATGATGACTTTGAATTCGGGCATGCTAAGAATTTGTCCACCATTAAAACACAGGAAGCTTGTGTTCCAGTTCCAAAGGATTTCTGCTGTCCGATTTCTTTGGACTTGATGTACGATCCGGTCATTGTATCCACCGGGCAAACGTACGATCGCCCTTCAATATTGAGGTGGATGGAGGAGGGACACTGTAACTGCCCGAAAACAGGACAAATCCTTGCACACACTAGGCTTGTACCCAATAGGGCTCTCAAGAATTTGATCATTCAGTGGTGTGCTGCCCATAACATGCCGCTGTGTGACCTGCCCGAGAACGGGGAGTCCCCGTGTGGGGATTCTTTTGGGGCAGTGTCCCTGGGAAAGGCGACGTTCGAGGCTAATAAAGCCACAGCGTCCCATCTGATAAAACAGCTTGAAGATGGCACCCAGAAGGCTAAGGCCATAGCTGCTCAGGAGATTAGATTGTTGGCCAAAACAGGGAAGGAGAACCGGGCTTACATTGCCGAAGCCGGAGCCATCTTTCACCTTAAAAACCTGCTATCTTCTCTCGATGCCGCTGCCCAAGAAAACTCCGTGACCGCAATTCTTAACTTGTCTATCTATGATAAGAACAAAGGGCGAATAATGGACGAGAGAGGGTGCTTGGAGTTAATAGTTGGGGTTCTGAGGACCGGGCACACGCCCGAGGCCAGGGAAAATGCCGCTGCCACTTTATTCAGTCTCTCGGCGGTTCACGACTACAAGAAGAGAATCGCGGTAGAGGAAGGCGCTGTGGAGGCATTGGTTGGTCTTTTGAGGGATGGGTCACAAAGGGGCAAGAAGGACGCGGTGACGGCATTGTTTAATCTCTCCACGCACGCCGAGACTTGTAATAGAATGATAGAATCCGGGGCGGTTAGCGCGTTGGTCGGGGCTTTGGGGACGGATGGCGTGGCGGAAGAGGCGGTGGGTGCATTGGCGCTGATCGTCCGGCAGCCGGTCGGGGCGGCGGCGGTGGGGAGGGAGGAAAACGCGGTGGCGTTCTTGACGGGGTTGATGAGATGTGGGACCCCAAAGGCGAAGGAGAACGCGGTGGCGGTCTTGCTCGAGCTGTGCCGGGGCGGCGGCGAGGCTGCAGCAGAGAGGGTTTTGAGGGCGCCGGCGCTGGCCGGGCTACTTCAGTCTTTGCTCTTCACGGGGACGAAACGGGCGAGGAGAAAAGCGGCGTCGCTTGCTCGGGTCTTCCAACGCGGTTTGGGGGCGATGCATTACGGCGGGTTAGGGGTCGGGTATGCATTGGCGGGGAACTCGGCCATGGGAAGGGACACAAGTTTTGCCGGAGATGTTTCTGTGACTGTGTCCATTTCTGTGCCAGTATTATAATCTCAGAGCACCTATATGTTGTTCTTCAACCATTGATGCATTATTTTTTTTTCTGTAGTATTCAAAAAACAAATAACAAATATAATTCTTAATGGATATAGATCTAGGGGTTTTCCTACTTCTAGGTTTAGGAATTCATCACAAGATACACAAACATTATTGCTCATGAAGTTTAAACATGAGGGTTATGATGTACAAACAATAAAGCCCTGATTTTTTTTAGACCTAAAATGTGTGTGACATAACTGAACTGGTTGAACTCTTTCAATTATGGACAATAAAAATTGAGAACATACTTTCCAAATGTTGGTCATTATATATTGCATAATGACCCTACATTGGAGGAGGGTGTGGTTTGGGGTTGGCGTAGGGGATAAGAGGAGAGTTTAAGGAGGGGTAAGAACCATTAGTTTTGCCAAGAAAAATGCGCTTAAAAAACCAGTGACATTGCCAGTGTTAATAGAACTTGGCCGATTTTCTTATGGACAAAGTTTGGTAACTAGAGTTTTGAAATTAGAATCTTGATTGAATAGTAGTAATTTCAACTAAAATCTGAAGATTAGATTCTGGAGACTTAGAACTGAAGTTTGAAATATATGGAATTCAAGTTTCAATATTGTAATTTATACTTCTTTTGTCCCAAACTTATTGTTACGAGTATTTATTTATCCCGATTAGGCTCAGGTCACTCGTAAAATTCGTTCCGTAGTCGTGTACTACTAGGATACCAAAAGGAGCAACATCCCAATCCAATCTCGCCACACTCCACTCACAAAGAAACAGAAAAGAACAAGAAGAACACCCAGAGGAAGACAACTCACACAAAGGACCTCTCTCTTTTTTTGAACGGTGAAAACACAAGGAGACACCCTCAATATATAGTAGAGATTAGGAGCTAATTAAGGCAAGCTTAATTAAGATAAAGAATAAGAGATGAGCTAAGTAAAATGAGCTACTGAGCTTGATGCATTATTAACAATCTCCACCTCTGACCCAAATTAGTGCACATAGTTGACAAGGAACCGCGAGACTCATAATAATAACCTAATAACCACTAAATGTGTAATCAACAAATGAGAACAAACTTAGGGGTAGGGAGTTCACAAAGTACTCTCAAGTCATGAAGACTAGACAAATCACAAAGCATGGCAAAAATAAATTACGAATAGTTGAACTCTACCATTGGGTCATCGAGTTCAAAGAACAAAAGAAAAGCAAAAATCACAAAGACGGAAAAGAACAAAAAATCAACATCCAATCACAAAGATAGGTTTAAAATCTTTTGACATAAAGTAAATTTTTCAACATGTAAATACTTAGTATCCATGTCAGATGGATTAGATTTCGTAGAAATTTTCTCCAACATGACAATTCCCTTTTCAACTATCTCTAATAAAATGAAATTTAACATCAATATGTTTTATTCTATCATGAATAATATCTTTTTTTGGAAAAATAATTTTGTAGACCCCGCCGAATTTATGTCCGAAGTTTGTTCTAATTATCTCTTTTTTCAGCTATGTCTCTATTATGGAGATTATTCATCCATAATTATTTTGTAAAAATAATTTTGTGGATCCCAACGAATTTACGTCTGAAGTTGTCATGTTACAAGCCAAAAATTCCAACAATTATAATTAGTATTATCTCAATAAAATAAAAAATTGGTTTAATGCCATAGTTTATTAAAAAAAAGTGTCCTAGAGATAAATTTTTGTTACCATTATACAATCAACATAAATTTTCAAAGTCTTAAATTGATTAATTTATATTTTTTGGGATTTTGATTATAGTTTTTAAATATATACACTTTTAGGAGGTGGGGTACTAATTGAGGATGAAAATGACGTACTCCGTAATTAATTTGATATCTTCCAAGTTGATTATCCCACTGGCTCTCGAATTCGCTCATTCCACACCGCAGTTTTATCCCTACTTTTTTCTCCGAAAATGGCACTCGCCGTTAAAGCTTTTGCCCTTTTCTTTTCCGTCATTCTCCTGGTCTCTCGAATCCCCGCAGACGCCGTCGTCTCGGATCCTGCCCGGAGACTTCTAGGGATCCGCCGCGCCGCGAACCGGAGCCCGCAATCCGACTGCCTCGAAATCAGATCCAGATCTCAGTGCTCGCAGAGGCAGGATTGTCGGTGGTGCCGTAGTGACGTCATCGATGACTTATGCTTCTCCAGGACCGAAGCTTCCAGATTGCCCTCACAGGTCTCCGTTTGCAATTGACAAAACAAAAAGCAAAAAAGAAATTTGTTTTTCTTCTTCTTCCTTCGATGGTTGGATCAGACTGATTTCTGAGTTTTAATTGGTTTCCTGTGATTTATTTGTTTCTGTTAGTAGAAATTCTAAAGCTTTTTCATTGAATGGCTTTTTGGGGTTTCCTAGTAGATGTTTTTGTGTGTGTATAAGCTGATCAAAAGTGTTTATTATCAATTTTTAATTTATAAGTCAGTGGATTGTGTCTTTATAAGATGCAAAAAAATTAAGTAGGTTTTAATTACTTATTTTTAAGTCAATTTTTTGTTTCTTTATTTTGACCAAATTAATTACCAAACTGTCTTTTCCATTTATGTTTACAAATGACTTATCTACAGAGTATCATTTAGGTCATTAAATTTACACTGGAGAATATTTTTTACTTATAAGCAGCATATATGTTAAAAATTATTCATCAACAATAAGTGAATAAACACCAATACAGAGAGACACGTCCTTAGTTTTGAAAATTTCAAAAAAAAGAATCAACGGTAAAAAAATGTGTTGTTGAAAATTTAAAAATGTTAATTTTTATAATCTGTATATAAAAGAGACATTTTTAATGAGTAAAGAAAATTCAAGTTTAAGGGTGTGTTTGATATACAGAATTGATAGAATTTGAATAGAATTTAGCAATAGAATTCTATAGAATGGATTTGGATGAAATCAAATTCTCCAATTTCAATTCATTTTTAGCATTACCAATTTCAAATCCACATATTTTTATGCATTTGAAACTTCAAGCATATTCAGTGGGCGTTTGGGAGTATAGTGAATTATGTAAAAGTAGAAGTCATAATTTAAAAGCAGGAAGTATGTATTTGTAGTTTTGCTGGAAAACGCTTCTAAACCTTAATTTTAACTTATAAAACCATAATTTATAAGCTAAAGCAGATCGGAAAACATTTAAAATTGTGTTTTAGTAAAGTAAAAGCTAGGGGTGCATACAAATCAAATAAAATATATTCGATTCGTGATTCGTATTCGAAAAGGATGATTCGTATTCGCTATATTCGAATCCGAATACCAATCATATTTTAGATTCGAATTATTTTCGAATTCGAATACAAATATTAATAGATTCGATTCGTTTATTATTCAAACTATTCGAATATTATAATTTATAAATAAATTTATATATATTCTAATATATTAAATATTTGTGCACATATTTTAACATATTTTAATATATTAAATTTTTGTGTACATATAAATTTATATATATTCGAATATTATAATTTATAAATAAATTTATTTATATTCTAACATATTTTTATTACATTTTACATTATTATAAAATAATAATTTAATGTCTTTAAAAAATTTGTTTTAAGAAAAAATTACTAATATTTTCGAATTCGAATACGAATTCAAATACGTCACATATCTATCGAATCGAATACGAATGTTTTTTAAAATTCGAATTATATACGAATTCGAATTCGAATACATATCACTTTAATCGAATACGAATCGAATAGTGATATATTTGCTTCGATTCAATTCGTATACACCCATAGTAGAAGTTATAAGTTATTTTCAAATGTAATCCTAAAACCCTAGTGTGGAAAATTTGTTGAGTACTTAATTCTTGATGTTTCACCAAAAGTTTCCGAATTTTGTTAGGGTATGAGAGTCCTACTTTACAGAGCCCTTGCGTGAAAATTTTGCCCTGAATTTAAGGGCACTTGGAACTTGCCGGAGTTTATCTAATTGAGCTTACAAATCGGAAGTATTCTTCCCGGCACTGTAGAATGACTATACAAATATTAAGTGCAGGCTTCACATTCTTTAAGGTATGTTGAAGATTACACAGAGTAATAGATAATTATTTTTAAAAAAACGGAAGGAGATTAAATTGATGAATTTAGATTCAACAAATCAAGATTGAAATTGGACTCTAATTTTGTAACTAATTTAGTTATTACATAGATGCATCTAAATAATGTCATCATTCACTTTGAATTGGTCCAAATCCATATGAGTAAATTCTATAATTGGTCCTTTATAACAGAGGGGTTTCCCTATTTAATCTTTTATTATCAAATATTACTCAAGTGGTCCTTCTTTTATGGGTACCTTTCCACAAATAGTCTTTTTTGATCTTCTATCATGTTGGTGTTAATTTGAGGGCTAAAAGTATAATTTCACAATGATAATATATCTTTTTTATCATACACAATTCCAAAGGTTGTTCCCTTTGCGTCGTTTGTAAATTAGAATCGCTTTTTACGACAACTATAGTCTACAAATGTGATCTTTCGTCAGAGTCCTAGCCCACAATTATAGTCATTATTTTTGTGTTATCCGTTTAACCAATATCAGAACACGTCACTAGACATAATGTTGACGTCAAATTATACTTTAAGCTTTTAAATTAAAACCAACACGGCAGAAGATCAAAAAAAGGATCATTTGTGGAAAGGTACCCTTAAAAAAGGACTACGGGAGTAATATTTGATAATAGAGGACTAAATATGGAAACCCCCCTGTTATAAAGGACTAATTATGAAATTTACTCAATCCATATTGAATGCTTATTGTATTTACGTTTCAAAATGCACCAAGGTTCAGGTGACATTGAATCTTGATGTCATGGGATGACCCGGGACGCTCCGGTGTCCCGTTCGTAAAATTGACGGTTCCTACCCCCTAACCTCCCGGTAAACCCCCCACCCGGCTCCGGCCCGAACACAACCCCTCACCCTTCAATTGCACCCCACAAGTTGATTTTGACTTTGGAGTCAAATTTTGACAATCAATGCTGCCAAAACTATACACTCTTTTAATAGTATAAATTAATTTCGAAAAGACTAAAAATCTACGCTTTATATTATGCTTTGTATATCATTTTCATCGGTCCAAAAGGTGAAATCGCCCACCCCATTGTATATCATTTTCAAAACGCTGAACTGATAAATTGTGTATTTCGTCAATCAAACAATCACTATTCGAATTGCCATTGCTTTTCAAATTGTTTCCCATTGCATTCAACATCACCAGTTGAAGATATATTTGAAGTGGAAGAAAAACAAAACAAAACCAAAACAAGCAAATCTCAAATCCCAAATAGAAAACAGTTTTGAAAGAAAAAAAATTGACTGTAAAAAAATCATACTTCCACCAGCACATTGTTGCAGTCATCACCATCTTCACACAGAAAATCCTGAACAGCAATTCTCATATCCTCAACCCCATCACACCCATCAAAGAACTCCATTAGCCTCTTCAGCTCTCCGTCTTCAAGATCGTTCGTGAACGGGCGAATCGGGACCGCGTTTCGGGGCTGCAACGCGTACGAATTCGGGTTGTCGTCTACGATCACAACCCGCTTCATGTCCCTCCCCAAATCAGACAAATCCTTCACAAATTTCCCGTCCAATTCCTTGCAAGAATCTCTGTACAGTCTGTGTGAAATCAAGTTCTTCTTGTCCAGCTTGTCCAGAACCAGAGAGGCATACTCCTTTATCCCTGCTGTGAACACCACAATCTCGAATTTTTTGCTTAAAGATTCGAGAAATTCGTCCACGAATGGCCTCTTCAGAATATAGAAATCGACCCGTTCTCCGTCGATTACCGGGCGGACGGCGAAATCGTACTTTTCCGGCGGTGGGTTTGTGCTGGAATGGATCAGAGTCTCGTCTAGATCGAGAAAGACTGTGCTTTTTCCGGGGGTGATGAGGGGCGGGAGGGTAATTTCGTCATTGTCGAACAGAGCACGCCGGAGATCTGGTTGGGGGAGTTTCTGGAGAATCTGGTAGTTGCTTCGTTTTCTGATTGGGGTTTTCTTCTTTGGGGTGCCGGAGATGCAATTGAGTTTGGAGAAGATCTTGACGAGGCGGCCGCGGCAGGTGTAGAGGGACTTGTTGATGGAGGCGACCACGACGGACGCGACGGTGGCTGTGGCCGGATTCTTGATCGGGGACCTTTTCCGGCCTCGCCGGAGATGATTCTTGTGGGCCCTGATGCACTTCGCCGGGGTCTTCTTGGACACCATTTTCAGAGAATTGAAGAGAGCAGAATTTTGAATTGAGAGAGAGAGAGAGAGAGAGAGAGGTTTTATGGCGGAGAAGGCGGTTTCACGGTGGATTTTGAATGGGATTTAATGGCAAAGCCACAACGGTCAAGTTAATGTTCGGCTCGGAGCCGAAGCTAAAAGGAAGGTTGGAGTGGAGGATACTCTCGTGATTTTCTTCTTCTGCTTCTCTTTTTTACTTTCTTTTAAAAAAATAAAATCTTCATATCATTAATAATCAATCCCAAATTCTTACATTCATAATTTGATCAATCATCAAACATAAATTAAAAAAACACAAGTATTACAAATAATCTTGTTATTCAATATTCACAACGTCAACTTTATTCACTTTGTTAGTCTATTTTTAATGTTTATCTAATAAAATAATATTATCACCTCACTTCTAATTTTATAGATCTTTTAATAAAGCTTTTAAATGTATAATTTTTATTTTTTAATTCTACATCACTTTTCTTATAAAATGATTTAAAAATAATTTCAGTCAAACATCATAACTCACAATGGAAAGATTATTCTAAGACGGAGGGAATATATATTAGAATTAAGTTATTTGTAACTCAAGATTTGTACCGACCACAAATTGCACACCAAAGGTGTGCCCTTTCATTTTTCATCAATGTGATACTATGGTGATGATTCACACAGGTACATAATGTTTGTGTAATTTTTTTTTATCGCACTAGCATTTTGTATCAGTTTGAATCATCGAAATGATAATATATATTTTTTGTTTAACTTTAGGATACACTTCTTTGTTGTAATTGTAGCATGGTTGTATATTATAGTCGAGTCAGTCAGACAGTCACACAACTTTTAATTGATGATTACTACTCATTGATACGAACTCTTTAGTGAGAGTTTTACTTTATCAAAATTTTTCTATTTTTTTTACTCATTTGATAATACAATATAGTAGTATTAACTTTTTGTTTTGTAAAATTTTAAATGTATTTTTAAAAAATATTTTTTTTTAAATTCTATATAAATTTTCAAATAAACTTGAACTAAAAATAATTTTAGTAAAATATCTTAAAGAAAAACATCACGTTGGGCTACTCCTTTCACCCCAAACTATCATTTTGTCTATTGTTTCAGACTTCCGACAACTTTTACATGTGCGTATTTTCATTGATCGTTTTTAAATATGAAATTTATACATTTTACTACCTCCATCTCACTCTCTTTGTCCACTTTTGACTTTTGGAACTGTTCATCAAAGCACTTTGACTCATCAAATTCTCTCAATGTGTAAGCCTAAATATAGTCATGTGTGATCTTGTTTGATTTGTCTTAACATATAGATTATTAATATATAATTTCTATAATTTTTTAATATATAAATTACAAGATAAAATAGATTAAAGAAATGCATTGGATGGTGTATAAAAATGAAAGTGGACAAATACTCTGGGATGGAGGGAGTATTTATATACTACTCCGTAATTTATAAATAAAATTATTTCAAAAGAAATAAGATCTTACTCCTATATGTTATTAAAAAAAGAACGATATTTTTAGGACGGTGGAAGTCATTGTTTAGATATTTTTTTCTTCTCAAAGTACGAAGACTTATTGTTAATAGTTGCAGCAATAAAATTTTACGGTTGTTGATACACAAATTAGCAGGGATGGTAATGAGTCGGGTTTGGTTCGGTCATCGGATAGAGCTTCACCCTTATCTATCCCGTAACTCTGAATCTTCACTCGATCCATCCATCATCCTTTTTGTATATCATGTACCATCCGATCTATTCAGATCAGCTGTCAGTGAAACGGGAGAAAACATGTGATATTAAGTGGGAAAATTTTTCTTTAGTCAAACAAAAATTGAGGGAAAAAAACCAGCAAGAAAATTTTGAAAAAAGTATGGAACCGCCTCAAATTAGTGAGGAAACAAACAATCTAGCCATTGATGAGAACATGAATGAAGCAATTGATCTTACCTAAGCTTGTACGGAGTTCCCGACACGAGAGGAGTTGGGCGCGAGACGCAAGAGGAGGTAGACGACGGATACCAACGCATTAGGAGATAGCTGCAAGACCCGTAGTTGTCGGATGCCACACTTCGTCTTCTTCGCAAAAAAGGTTCACTGCTTCAATGATGCTAGCTAGACTGCAAGCAAATGCAAGGTAGACTACCACACATCTCTATGCTTAAATGATACTTAGGTCTTGTACTTTATGCTTTATTGTTTTTTAAAAAGAATCAGAAGTAGAGATTAGAAAATTGAACCCTCAAATGGAAACAAAAAAGACTTGGTATCGACGGATCCATTCCATAGTTGTGAATGAGGAAGTGAGTAGTCTGCTGCCCATATTTTAATCTCTTCAAATTTTGATATACATAGATCGGGCGATGGGTGACAAATATCTTCACTTTATCCGAACCGATCTATCACATGCCTCATTTATCATCCATAATCATCCACAGTCACTCAAGTGAACAAACTCATTTGCATTAGAAGAAAAAAAAGACTTGCTCACAAGAACCAAGAATCATTTCTTTTCTGAAAAACAATTGCATTGAATATATTTTGGCGAGCAGTGCACCGTTAATTTTATAGCCTATACTAGACTCACGCACATTGACCCATTGCAGATGAGAAGACCGGCGTGTGGTTGGCCCTAGTCTTTTGATGTGACGACCAACAACCCCAGAGCACCTATCAAAATATACTGCAAGCAAAAGATAATATCTAGTCAAACTACTGTGTTTTGTTGCTCTAGAGTCTAGGCATGTCCTCTTCTTTCCTTTTCTTTTTGGGATAAGAGAAGGGAAGCAGTACTAGTCATAGGCACATCAGTTGGTTTCCATTAGATGTTTGTATCAACTTTGTTTAGGGAAAAGAGTGTTTGATAAACATGAACGGTTTGGGGATTTTGGCGAAAAATTTGTGAGTTTTTTCTTCTTCTTTTTTAAGAGTTGCGAGTTGGATACAAGTTTTTGTAAACTAGTGTTTCGAACCAAAAATATTGTTTTATTGAACAATATTTAAGAACTATTTGACCAAAATCAAACTGCTCATTTACCTTTAAAAAAAAGAAACTATTTTTTGAGAAAGAAAACACCCCAATAGGCTTGTTGGCAAACACACCCATAAATGAATATCCAAGGAGAGGAGGGTGCGGGGGGAAGAGAGAAAGGAAAGATATAATTGTAGAACCACATTCATAATCACACCTTGATAATAGGCTTCTCAGTCATAATTATTGCTACCCAGCCCACATAAGGCAAAAACCTGGAGAAAACCAACCAGCAAATCAAGAATTAGATGAAGAACAAATTTCAAATAACATGCTATATAAAAATAAATACTCCGTACTCAATAACAGGTTAAAATTTTAAGTACGGACTATGGAGTAAATTTAACCGAGGTCTAAAGATATATCTATTGTTAGAGGCACCTGATTCCCCGTCAGGAGAAACTATCGGTTATTAAAAATGAATCTAAGCTTCACTTCTAGAGCAAAACTTACCCAACAACTCTCCCCATGATGTGTTGACGCTGTAACCAGAGCTGACCGTGGGCATACAGAGATCTATCATCCCCTAAATTATTGTCTCCTGAGGAATCACAAGATTGAAGAAAGCAGAAACTTGAAAACCGAAAGCACCTGCTCTTAACATATTCATTTTAAAACTTCCAACGGAAAACTGAACACTCCTTTTCAGGGTTCCAAAATCTGATCTTTTTTTGCTCTTTCCAAAAGAACTAGAGGTAAAAAATCACCCTGAATGGAATACATAGATTTCAAAGCTGCTGGAAGCTAAACGGAAAGGGAAATCTAGAAAAGATTTATCTAAATACATCCCGAGGTTTTCTAAATAACATACATACAAGTACCTTTTGAAAGTATATCTACTTCCCCTGTATCTTTGCGCTCGTGAACCTAGAAGCAAAAAATATCATTGAAATAAGATAGGCATGGCCATGTTCCATGCTTTATGTGGACATGACAATAGCAACAATCTCAACTCATTTTTGTCGCAATTTCCATATATAAGTTGGGGGTAGTCAAATTGGTAGGGTAATTGGAACGCAAACCAATTGGTTGTGCGTAGGAACAACATTGGGGGCTATCTAATGGCCTTCTTGGTTGAACTCATGTGGTGTGGGCAAACTAGACCAGTTTACATCCTTGTGATCCTTTTCCCGGCTGGGGTCACAAGGCAGGGGTTTACCCGTTGTGCACCTCCATGAATGGTTGCTAGTGAGCATGTTTACCATGTTATCAAAAAAACACAAGTAATAGGAAAGGGATTCTTGAAAATGGAACACAAACAAATTACTCGCCTTTATAACTCTGTGCACTATTGGAATCTCTTGTCCCTTTACAACACAAAGAAATAAGAAGTCATATGTCAGTCAAACAAGAAAAAAACCATGGACTTGAAAGAGCATGACAAATATCATAAGTTTCAGAATTTTCATCTGAGCAATAGGAAAAACAATAGCAATACCCATTAATATAGTGCAAGTACGCACATAAAGATGATGGCTTAGGGTTGAAGGGATCTGTTATATTCAGAACCCATCCAGTCTTCAGGGATTCACATTTAGAGCATATTAGCATAATAAATTATATGATGGAAATGCCAACTACCACAAATATCAAATGGATGCAACTATTGATTGCCAAACTTTTGTCACAATCTCATCCTTTCTTTTGGGTAGTTGAAAGCAACTCATGACTAATTCTTAATGCTCTGAAGATGGCATACAACTCACCCTTCTCAATGGTTGAGTAGGCATGGGACAATGGTTCCTGATGTACGCCCCGAATGGGAGTGCCCTGTGATTCCCGGAGTACCACTCCGATTGCCCGAGTCTTGACTGAAGCGCCCTTATTTGCATTCAAATAATGAGGAATACCGACCCAATAGCAGATTTCAGGAATGAAGTCAAAAACCGGGGCAAGTGCAACGAGATTTGAATTCTCTCCTGCGCCAACAGTTTGAAAATCTTGAGGTTCCAACCCTGTCTGCGATGGCGCCAGACAAGGGAAAACACGTACCCGAGGTTAAACAACATAGCGGGGGCAAAGAGGGATGCATTATGCTTTTGAATCTTTGTCTTATACCGATTAAAATATTTCTTGAGAATTATGGGGACCTTGTTTTGATGTACAGTGTCAAAGATATTTAGTTTATTCATATTTCCAAAAATTGCAGGACCCCATGGTTCTCAAGAAATATTTTGATCAGTATAAGACAGAGATTCAAAAGCATAATGCATCTCTTTTTGCCCCCGTTATGTTGTTCAACCTCGAGTACGTGTTTTTGCTTATCTGGAGTCATCCCGGACAGGGTTGGGACCTCAAGATTTTCGAATTGTTGGCGCAAGAGAGAATTCAAATCTCGTTGCACTTGCTCCCGGTTCTAGACTTCATTCTAGAAATTTGCTATTGGGTCGGTATTCCTCATTATTTGAATGCAAATAGTGACGCCTCACTCAAGAGCCGAGCAATCGGAATGGTACTCCAGGAATCATAGGGCACTCCAATCCGGGACGTACATCACGAACCATTGCCTACTCAACCATTGAGGAGGGCGAGTTGTATGGCATCTTCAGGACAATGAAAATTGGTCATGAGTTGCTTTCAACTACCCAAAAGAAAGGTTGGGATTGTGACAAAGGTTTGACAATCATGTCTGACAACGGCAGATGAGAAGACCGACGTGCGGTTGGCCCTAGTCTTTTGATGTGATGACCTACAAACCCAGAGCACCTATCAAATATACTGCAAGCAAAAGATAATATCTAGTCAAACTACTGTGTTTGGTTGCTCTAAAGTCTAGACATGTTCTCTTCTTTCCTTTTCTTTTTTGGATAACAGAAGGGAAGCAGTACTAGTCATAGGCACATCAATTGGTTTCCATAGATGTTTGTATAAACTTTGTTTAGGGAAAAGAGTGGTTGATAAACATGAACAGTTTGGGGATTTTGGCTAAAAAGTTGCGAGTTTTTCCTTTTTTTGAAGAGAGTTGTGAGTTGGATACAAGTTTTTGTAAACTAGTGTTTTTGAAGCAAAAATATTGTTTATCGAACACTTAGGATTTAAATTCAAAATATAGTTTTTGTAAAAATTATCTTACAATCTCATTATTAAAAATTTTCCAAATTTTAATCAATATTTAAAGATCCAAATTCAAAATTTTTAAAAGTAAATAATATATAACAATTTGGTTAAAAAATTTCATGAACTTGGGATAAATCCTAAATAATTTATGAGATAATAGATTTATGAATATCAAATTTCTACATTTTATGATATATTCGTTCAATCCCGTGCGCGGCACGGGTTAAAATACTAGTCCTTTATATATATAAAGCAGACTCGGAGTTGCAGAAATGCGACATTTGGCAGAGCTATAATGTGACATTTGGCAGAGCTATAATGTGACATGTGGCAGAGCTGATGTGTCGCCTTCTTAAAGAACTAATTGTGTGATGGCAAGCTTATGTGGCAGAGAATAAATCCATCCATAAAAGGAAAATGCAAAATAAAGAACTAATTCATGGAATACGCATACACTACTTTCATCTTCTTCGGAAATTTCTTAAAAACGAAAATGAACAAATATAAAATGATTTTTTATTACTTTTAAAAAATAAAAATATATGTTTGGGTTTTGAAATGCATATTCACGATCTCAATAAAAAGTAAAAATTTGGGACCGGAACTATGCAAAATAATAATAATAATAATAATTATAATTATAATAATAATAATAATAATAATAACTAACGTTTAAAAACTAACATTTAAAGAAATAGTTTCCTAATTTGAAAAAAACAATATTTTAAACGAAATTGATTTTTATTGGCATGTTTATTTAAGAGAGTATTAATAACATTTCATACACAATAAAAAAAATTAGGTCTAACAAAAAATTATGCTCCATTTTCAAATTAGTATTGTGTATTTTAAAATTTAATTTTTATATTACTAAATGGTACACACTTTGTTTATAGAGAAATATATAGAATTTGGAAACTATAATAAAAGTTATTAATGAAGAAAAGGTATAAAATGTTTAATATTTACGTGCTTAAAAGTGATACTACAAATATTAAATCATTATATATAAAATTTAAGAGTCGGCTTCCAAAATTACATGTGGCATGTTTAGTAGACAATTTTTTTAAACATGTCCGCAATCATACATTGACTAGAACTTTTCTTATTATATTCCTTGGAATTTCCTTATTGTGTATTTAAAACTAATTTAAAAAAATTAACGATACTCAAGTAGTTTTATATTTTTTGATAGACAAATGTTTTTTCATAAAAAAAGAAAATTAAAAAATATAAATTTGATTTTTAAAAAAATTCTTAAAAAATAAAAATGTAAAGTTAAATTTCGAACAATGTTTTCACAACCTCAACAAAAACAATATAAACTAAGGATTGGAATTACGTATAATAAAAATCATAATAATAAATAGTAGTAGTAACTAATATTTAAAGCATTCGTTTCCTATTTTGAAA